TTTTTTTTTTTCTTTCACAAGCAACGCTGCGCACAGAGAATGCCCCAACGGAGAAATGTCGAAACAGAAAGAGATCCATGCGAACATCGGAATGGGCAACAAGCCCCGCTGGCGATGAGGGCGGCTGGCGCGGCACAGCATAGCGCTGACGGAGCAGCGCATCTGTGCGCAGATTGCATAGCCACCCACAGAGGCGTGCTTTCCCGCGCTCGGAAGGAAGGAAGGAAGAGGCACCTACTGGCAGCGCCCGGAGTTCACAGCGGCCAGGAGCTCCTGCATGGACTTCTGCGATTGCTGGGGGGTGGCCTTCTTCTGCTCCTCCTGTGGCGGTAGTACCAGAGGGGGCGGGAGGGGGAGAGAAAGAGACGGGGACAAGTGGGGGGAGAGGCGGGGGGGGGGGGGGAGGGGTGAGGAGGAGTGAGCACGGGCATGCCCGGCAAGGCAAAGGAGAGACCAGGAGGTGGATTATCCCTCGGGATGGACGTACAGCACGGGCAGCCAGGGCAGCAGCCTCGGCAGCGCGCTCACGAGTGATCTTCATGAAGTATGGCTCGTCGTCGTCGGCGCCGGCGCCGGTCTTGTTCATGGAGACCATCGTTCCATGGTCTTCAGCAGGGAGGAGGGGACACACATCGGTGAGATGGGCACGCGCGCACACGCGAGGGGTGGAGAAAGAAAGCCGGAGGCCAAAAGGGCCAGCGACAGAAGGAGGCAGAAGGCAAACGCACCCTGCATGGTGCCGAAATTGGTGGTATCTGAGTTGACAATCATGGTGTCGTAGGCGGGCCGGCCATTAAACTGAGTGGTGCTGGAGTCGTAATCGTCGGAATCGGAGTCGGAATCGGAATCGCCCGAGTCATCGAAACGCGAGGCGCCTCGCCCGCGAGAGGGAACGACCGTGTTGACGACACCCTGCGTAACACACGGGGGAAGAGAAGGGGCAAGGGGATGGAGCAAACAACAGGTGGCAACAGGACACACGTCAGTCACGAGGCCAGGCACACACACACACACACACACACACACGCATAAAGATCAGGGGAGAAAGAGGAGGCAGGAGAAGGGGCGCAGAGGGAGACGCACATCGTAGCTCTCGCCGTCAGAGTCGTCCTCGCCGCCGAGGTTGTTCAGACCACCGGCCTCGCTGATGCGCTCCAGTGTGGACTGGACCAGCTCATTGAGCACCGCACGCGGAGGGCACTGGGTGATGAACTCGTGCTAAGATGGCGCGCCGGGAAGGAAGAAAAAAGACAGACGCATGGTTAGTCTACCTCTTGATGCGCTGGGGACGTGGCCATAGGACCGGGCAGGCGAGGGGGAAGGGAGGAAGCAGCAGACGCACAGAAAGCAGACTCTCGGCACTCGGGCGCTGGGCCGGGGACTTAACCAGGCAGCTGGCAACGAAGTCATTGAAGGCCGGCGAAAACTTGGACGGGTCGGACACCGTCGGAGGGGGCTTGGTGGGGATCAAGAAAACAGCCTGCATGGGCAGAGAGGGGCGAGGGAGAGGGGGGGGGGGAACAATTAGAACATCGTCACCCTCCTTCGAGGCAGGTAGGGCGCAAGGGCTACATGCATACACAAATACATGTGTGCGTGTGTGGTGATGGTGGCGATGGGGGGGGGTCGAAGGGCAAGAGGCAAAGGGCGAGAGGCAAAGGGCGAAAGGCAAAGGGCGGGAGGCAAAGGGCGGGAGGCAAAGGGCGTACACGCATCGGGTTGATCTTGTGGTAAGGCGGGAAGCCATCGGCCATCTCAATCAGCGTGATGCCAAGAGACCACACGTCGGCCAGCTCATTGTAGCCAACCTCCTCGATCACCTCCGGGGCCATCCAGAAGGGGGTGCCGATGACGGTGTTACGCTTGACCATGTCATCCGAGAGCTGGCCAGTGACACCGAAATCCGCGAGCTTGGCCACGCCCTGGCTGTTGAGCAGGATGTTGCCGGCCTTGATGTCACGGTGGATCTTGCGCAGGCCGTGAAGATAAACCAGCCCATTGAGGGCGTCACGACAAATGACGGCAATCTGCTTTTCGGTCAACGGCGACCGGTGGATGCGCATGACGTCCGACACGGCCCCGGCGCCGCAGTACTCAATCACAATCTTTTCCAAGAGGAGGGGGGGAGGAGAGCGGAGGAGGAGGAGGAAAGGTCAGACTAATGGGGGTACGAGAGAGGGGGCATGCAGACAGGCACTTTGCAACGGTGCAGGCACATACCCAGAGGTGCTGGTCCTTGAAGTAGCTGCCGTAGAACTGGACGATATACTTGGAGCGGCAGCCGTTCATGATCTGGATTTCCTTGACCAGGCTCTCGAAATCATTGTCCTCCACGGCCACGCGCTTGATGGCAACGATATGACCGCTGGCATTGTGAGTGGCCTTATGGACAAAGCCATATGACCTATGCAGGTGAGGGTGTGGAGGTTAGGCGGGAGGAAGGCAAGCCTCGCTGGCACAAACACATGGCAGGAGAAAGAAAAGGGGGGAGGGAATAGAGGAGAGGAGTGCAACTGCGGGGGAGGCGGGTTGACTTGATAGCGCACCCCTCGCCAAGCTTCTCGAGCATGGTAAAAACGGTATCCGGGTCTTGAGTGAGCTCCTCGTCGGTGAGGGAGAAGTAGGAGGGCTCCTCGGCTGTGCGATCAATCGCGAGGCATTTGTGTCAGGGGCATTGGACAAAGTGGAGAGCCGGCAGCAGGCCAGAGCCCCGGGATAAAAATGAGGACGCCAGCGCAGGTGCACGAGGAGACAACGCACGGGAGATGTCGGAATCATCGACCAGCAAGTTACGGTCCCCGCCAGGGGCCGTTAGCTTGGTGATGGTTTTGCTGATGAGATTTTTGAACATGCTTCACACAGTCAGCCGCCGGCGCTCGGGGGGGGGGGGAGGCACAGGGGAGGGGAGACTGCTTGCGGTGCTGAAAAGGAGAAAACCGAGGGAACCGCGAAGCACCAGGCAGAGGAGGGGAGGGGGGTTAGCTGAGCCGCAAGGTGCCGGAACAGGGGGCAGGCGGGGGGGGGGGGGGGGGGAAATGTACGCTTTACTTTGCACGAACACCACTAGACAAGCACATGTAGACGCAGGATACTGCTACGCGTGTCGGGGGGGCGTCGGTTGTCGGGGGGGGGTTTGGGGGGGCGGGTCGGAGGGGGGGGGGGGGGAGGCGACACCGTCGGAGCCGACGCGGTGGAGGGGCGTGACGCACGCGAGAAAGGCGGCTACGAAGTAGCGGAGCACGCCCAGACGCAAAGGCAGGGGATGGGGAAGGAGGGGGTGGAGGGACGGAGGGCGAGGGACGGAGGAGACGGGCGGGGGGGAGGGGAGGGTAGGGATTTGTGGAGCGCGGAAGGCAGAGAGGAAGGAGGGAGGTGTCGAGCGTTGTCGAGCAGGGAATGGGTAGCCAAGCCACTCGGGGGCATGCTGGGCAAGCACGAGGCCCAAAAAAATCCTCCCCGTCCTCTTCCCATTGCGCGAGGAGATCTCTCGCGGCTGATGGGTCCTCGCCGCGAAAAAGAGGGGCAAGTGTGTGGCGGCGGGCGCGAGCGCGGGCGCGGGCCTGTGCAGGGGGGGGTGAAAGGGGGTCTGACGGTGTATGAAGCAACAGGGGCCAGGGGGGGGGGGGGCGACGGGGGGGGGCCCCCCCCTCCCAACTGCATGATGCCGATTTGTCCCCCCCGCCCCTCGCCGCCCCCCCCCCCGCCAGAAGGGGTCAGCCAGCGAAAGCCCAAAGGCATGGGCCTCAGGCACCCGAACGCGGCGCCCCTCGCCCCTCTGAAAGGCGGAGAACGACACAGCCAGACGGCGAGGGAGAGAGAGTGAGTGAAAGAGGGAGACAGAGGGAGCTGCTATCCTGAGAAGGGGGTTGGTTAATTTCGCCGATGTAAAGGTACTTCGGCAATTGCGCGCCTCGGTGCACGGCGGTAAGTGTATGTGTTTGGATTGCTGGCAGGAAAAGCCTCAAAAGACCCCCGGTCCTCGAGCGGCCTGCCCCAATACTCGCTCCGGCCACCAGAAGTCTCCCCGGCCCGGGGGCCCAAGAAATGTGTCCGCGAATCTCCCCTGCCTGTGGCTCCCCCCCCCCCCCCCCTCGCCCTCCGAAGGGTCTCCGCCCCTCGGCTTCCCGATCATCACCCTTTCAGGCCGCGGGGGGGGCCGAGCCGGGCGAGGGGTGAATGCTGGGCCCGTAACACGCACAACCCCCTCGCCCCCGCCGGAGCAGCCTCCGGACCTCACTCCTCCTCCCCCACGTCTGGCCCCCGTGTCTCCGTAGTCCCCTCCTAGACGCCCCCCCCGGCTGGCGCAAGGGGACGGTGTTCTTTCATGACGCAACAAGCGTGGGGACCCCCCCCCCCCCCCTTCGCCTTCGCCTTCGCCTGCCCCTGCAAGACGATCCAAGTGTGCCGGAGAACGGGAAACAGCGCGGCGGCCGTCCCCTGATCAGATTGCCTTGTGTATCTCAGTCATATGATCACATCTTCGGCATTCCAAGGTCACGCCCTCGGCGGATGGCGGGGCATCGCGAACGCAATCCTGCGCGAGGCCTGTTGAGCCCGTCGCTCGTCTATCGTGTGCTCCTCCGCCGCCGCCGCTGCCGCCGCCACCGCCGGTGTCCCCCAGACACAGCGCGTCCCCCTCCTCCGCCCCCTGCAGATGCAACAGGGGGAAGCCGCGGCCGGAGACCAAATGTCAGCCTCGCCACCTCCCAGCAACAAACGCCGGAAATTAAACGCCCTCGTGCTCGGCCCGAGCCCGGCATATCATCCCTGCCCGGCGAGGTGGCCACTCACATTGAACGGCGGCCAGCCCACCGGCCTGGCGGACGGACAATTCCCTCTCCCGATCTTCGCCCCTGCTGGTTTCTGCCCCCTCTCCTCTAGAGCGCGAAAGTATCACCCGAACGCGATGTCCGACGCCGCCGCCGCCGCCCCCACCACCACCGTCGCCGACGCCCAGTCGCTCAACCTGGTCCTCAAGGCCCTTGGCCTGCCCGAGACTGAGCACGACCTGACTACTGCCCTGCAGGCCATCAAGGAGGCTCATGCGGATCTGGTTCCCACCGACGGCGAGGAGTTCGCTCAGGTTCGCTTGCTCCCGCTCCCTCCCTCTTGGCTTCGCCATCCTGCCCGTGCCCCAGCCCACTCACACGCGCGCACACGCACGCACACCACCTGTAGGTTCTCCAGTGGATCCACCTGGCGTTCTTCACCATGCAGCCCGCCATCGCCGCCGCTTCCCAGCGTGACATCCGCTCCAGCGCCCGCGTGCGTCGGCCACGCTCGCGCCCACCTTGCCCTGCCACTACCTGCTGCCCTGAGACTCACCTGCTTTGCCACGCGCACACACACACACACACACACACACGCGCACACGACGTTCCCTTGGCCCCCCCCCCCCCCCCCCCCCCCCCCCCCCCCCCCCCCCCCCCCCCCCCCCCCCCCACAAAAAGCCCCGGCCCCCCCCCCCCCGTCCTGTTTTCCCCCGCGGGGGAGGAAACCCCCCCCCCCTCCCCGCCACTTTCGCCCGCCTGCACCC